TGATGGACAGAATCATGAAGCTGACTATAAGGACCTCCTTATGAGAGCCACAGAAAAAAGCAGAATCCAAAAGGGGGGACTGAGAGATTGTACTGAGCCGATGCATTTACAGGGCAGCAGCATCCTCCTGGGGAGTTACCAGCCAAGTGGGCAGGGGCTGAAATGCTGGGATTGGCTCTAGCTGAGATTATTTTTAGGCCAAGGTGGGTTTCACCCAAAACCAATCCACAGATGCTTCCAAGTCTTAAAGAAAACAAAACAAAACAAAACAGACAGATATGCTGGCTGGCATTAAGGGTAAGATACTGGGGTTTTTCCAATTCAGAAAACAATAGTCTCAGAAACAATGGATTTATACAGTAAAGCTCTCTAAATGTCACATACTGCACTTCTCTGTCTCATAAAATACATGAAAAGAAGGAGGATGCTTCTTTCTGAGGAAATTGTGATGGCTGACGTATTATTCTTAATTTGATCTGTCGTGCTTGCATTGCACAGTGTTTCTTTCTTTGTGTATGTAATGCTTTTCACCTGCAGAGTCATGAAGGCTGTGGTGTGCGCTGGGTGACACCCTTTTTCAGTGTGCTCTAAAGGTCAACAGATTTGGGCCATTCCCAGCTCCAGGTAGTACAAGTATCGAGTGCTGACAGAAAGGATTCCTCTCATGGGAGGCCAGCTTCTCTCTTTCAATGGATAGAACTGGTGCTTGTGGATCTCAACTGTAGGTTACAACAGCAGCAGTGTAACAAACGGAGAGAGGAAAACTCTAAAGTTGGCAGATCCTAAACCATTTATGATGCTAGAGTTCAAAACTAACACCTCCAACCATACCTGGTGATCAGCAGGCACTCATGCTATACAGAAGTCAGAGCGTATAAACTCACGTGCAGATGGGAGATTGGCAGTAAAAAGACACAATAGATTTTCCTGTGAGTTAAAGAAAGAATTACTACATACATTCTAATGTTTTGTGTTTTTGCAATTTAATCGAGGTCAACACTATATGAACTCAGGTTGTAGCTAATTTTAGAATGACCTGTACATTAATAACTGAGTGAATAAAGAGCAAATTATTTTTATCAGTACTTATGATATAGTGCTCCTCTTATCTCTGAGTCTTTATGGCCAACTTTTTTTTCAGTTGATTGCAGCTTCAGTCGAGGGGTCTGTGACTGGAAGCAAGATGCTGATGATGACTTTGACTGGAATCCTGCTGATCGAGATAGAGGTATTTAAATATCTGCCCTCTAGCTATGCTTTGATTTGATGGCTAACCCCCTCAAAAAAAGAGGGGTGGAGGGGAAAACAGTATCAAGAATTAGCTTTCCTATCAGTGGGTTATCTTTGTAAAAGAAAAAAAGAGGCAGAGGATGCTGGTAGTGGAAGTTGTTTCTTTGAAATATCCACTGGCAACTGGTAATCAGCAACACATTTCAACACAAATTAATCAAAAGATGAGAAAAATTATTAGAATATAACTGTTCAGAATTGCAAGGTACAAAGCAATGGAAACCTTCTTAGTTACGCATTGTATCCCTCCAAGGCTGGTAGGGTATTTAACCACACATCTGCCATTTAGATGGATGTGACAATGTAGTCACTCACACGGCTTAGACAGCGCTGTGATAACTGCTCAGAAATCTCAAACTCTGCAAGACCAACTAGTGACGGTGTTCCTCAGAGTGAGCCAAGGGCAGGGGGCTATTTGAGAACAACCGATACCTGACCCGGTACCAACGGCAGGCCTGCTAAAACCTGAGAAAGGGCTCGGCAAGTGCAATGTGTGACTGCCATGCGGGTGTACATAAAAAAGTGTGGCTGAAGACATTTGTTTGAAAGGATGTCTCTTCCCCTGTGACAGCGGAAATGTTGCAGAAGTCGCTGCAGTAGGTGACCGGTGGATCCTGCAGATCCGGCAGGCCAGTTGCTCCAGTTCCTACGTGGACATTCTCTCCCTCTGCCCTCACAGTCTTTCCATCGCAGTCTTTCTTCACTAATCCTTCCTCTCCTGCTCCATGTATTTCCTTTTCCCCAAGTCCCTGCTCTGTGCTGTCACTTCCAGGAAGACCTTACCCTGACCTTACCCCATCTCCTCGAACTTGTCTCTGCTGATTATGACTTTATTTATGGTCCCAGATGTTTTATCCCTTTATCACTTTGTGTGTCTCTGTCATTTCATTGATCCTCCAGGATTTGAGGAACAAGCTATCAGTTCCTTCATGAGTTTGTCATCACTGCAGAGGAGAGTGGAGAGAGTATTGAGCTAGCTCAAGTACTGGAAATGGTCTGACCACAGAGGCACAGCAGTATGTTTCAGGCTGCTGCATTTGAAAAATGGAGATGGTTTTGGCTTTGAAAGATAGTGTAAGGAAGCATGACTGTAATTGCCAGTGAAATATGAACACCTCTGCTCTCTAAACTGATCTGAATTCCAGCAGTGCAAGCTTATTCCTTGCAAAGTACACTCCCTGCTGCTTTTCTTCAGTCTGATTTTAAATTACTCAAGTAACACAGCTTCCATGCATTTTCTTAGCAAATATGTCTTCAATTTGCTAATAAATAACACAAGTCGATTAAAGATGGGTTTTCCTTTTTTTTTTTTGTTACAAGGCGATGGGTACTACATGGCAGTTCCAGCTTTTGTGGGGCACAAGAATGATATGGGGCGTCTAAAACTTCTCCTCACCGACCTCAAACCAAGGAGCAGCTACTGCTTGACTTTCAGTTATCGGCTTGCTGGCGAGAGAGTGGGGAAACTTCGAGTATTCCTGGCAAACAAAAAAACTGCTCCTGTCTGGGAGCAGAACAAAGGAGAAGATGAAAGGTGGAGAACGGGGAAAATAGAGCTATTTCAGGGAGCTGAAACAACTAACAGTGTAAGTATAACACAATCGATGAGCCAACTACCATAACCAACACAACAGCTTAATTTCCTAATCCTCAAGTGTTCCACCAAATGTTTCATAGGCATCGCTTGCTGGCAATTGAAAGGCGTATCTGAAATGGGAAACAGGAACACACATTTTAGGAGACAGAAAAAGTTTTTATCTGGTTGTAATTTCAGAACTGAATCGCCCCAGTTGGTTAGGACACCGATGCCAGTAATCCTATTGTTTTGTAAAAAAAAACTGCATCAGATCATAAATTAACACGAGCAATCAAAATCTTTCCTTAATATCTCATGCAACAGAAGCATACATACATGCCTGGAAAAATGAAAACTTTCTGTGTCATAGAAGGGGATGCTCTCAAGTCACACTAAAGCAGACCTTCAGAGCAAAAGGAGACATCGTGTATAATCAAGAGTGGGCAATCACCTTAGGAGCAGGACACACTAGCCAAGAGGGAACACTGTGCACTGAAGTATGCCTGAAAACTGCCTCAATCAGGACTTCAGCAAGTTTCTCCTTGAAATCCTAGGCCCTGATTTTCATTTATGTGATTGAATGTTTTCAGTGCTGTGTAAAGGCTTCTAGTGTGTAATTGGATACTGTGAGTATAAATGAAATGCGAGCCCTTTTCAAGGTTCTTTGCAGTGCTGGAATGATGTAGAAAAGCCTTTACATAAATGAGAATCAGACTATAAAATAAAAACCCAGGCATCCTATTCATAAAAATGAACCCACTCTCTCTTACAATATACATACTATATATATACATACTACAGAGAGAGAGAGACTAAGTATATATGTATATATCCACCCAAAACCCAAGGATCCAAATAGATCTAAAATGAACAGTTGTAATGTCTTCAAGAAATGAAGTGCACTAACATCACATACTGTGATAAAACTACATTATTATAACAGGATTTCACTCAATTTGCATTTTCTTTGTACAATGAAAATAAATAATCTTATTAAATTAATCCATTTGGTATTGTAAATCTGTGCAGAGGATTATAAGTCTAGTTCAAATAATACACGTAAACTCTAAAAACTGCAAGGATTTAAGTCATTAAGTCCTGTATTGTGAAAAGCATTCCTCAGATATAGCATTATAACTAATTAACATTAAGAGTTGCTAAATGGTTGGATAAGCTACATTTTCACTGTTAATACGTGTCTTTTCTTATGACAGGTCACTTTTGAATCAGAACGTGGGAAGGGCAAAACTGGAGAAATTGGAGTGGACAATGTTATACTAATTTCTGGTCTATGCCCAGAAGATACCTGATACTGGATATTTGAGTATACTGGATTTAATCCTATTCTTAATATTTGCCATACTAGTAGTGCATTTTTTATCATTTTCTTTATAAAAAAACCCAAAACCATAAAAACTGTGCCTTGAACTTAATGCACCAATGCAAACAGAGAAACTGACATGTGCAAGATGCAGAGTACACTTTTTTATGAGTTATTCTAATTCTAATACACACTTCGAGTGTAGCACTACTGTATTTTATAATTCAAGGTCAGGGTTTCTAAAGTATTATTTGCCTAGCTTTTTTTCCTAATTCTACGTGCTTTTATTCCTTAAAGCTCTTTCAAGGCTATTCTTAAGTCTTCTATTTCATTTCTTCTACTCCACAAGAACATAAAGCAGTATTTAAGAGGATGTTACTACCTCTGGTGATGCAGTTTTAACTTCTTACTCAGTGTGTAGATATTCAATCTATTCAAGAAGTAAGAAGAAAGAGAGGAGCTTTATTTCCTTCTGGATGGAGCTAAGCAAGTTGTAAGTGAAGTCATGTCTTTGAGGAATATTTTCAATAATAAAAAAGTATGTAAAATACCTTATTTGTCATCAGTGTCTTTGAGTCACACAAATCACTGTTTAGAAGTGATCCCTTTATAGTTTTATAAACATTTAATGTTGAATGACAATGCTGTGGAGGACAAGACCATCTTCTTCCATCTTGTGATCTCTTCTGAAAGTATCCAACGGTCTGAATCCCGGGAGGACAGAGATGCCCATGGAGAAGCCCTGGTTCAGGCAATGTTCAGGTAAACGTGCGTGCAGACATTTTCCTCTTGCTTAGCTCTGTGTATCCCCTTCTAGGTTGACTGCTCACTGTTTATTATTAGTGACGCTCTTTATTTTATTTCTTGTGTGAAGAAGGGGACATCCAAAACAATAGAATTTTGTAGACCAACACTAAGGAACCTTGAAGAATTCAGCTTATATGAACCTAAGCTTTTTAACAAAAAACAACTACAGAAGTTCAAACACCTTGAACTGCACCTATGAAGCAAGTCGAGGATGTTGAAACTCAGTATTTTTGCAATTTGCACACAGCTGAGGAAAGGGTAAGCAAGACTGGAAATGTCTGGAAAATTTACAGTAGCTATGTAATCAGGAAATGCTTGTTCTTTGCTAGAACTGGTTTGTGTTACGAACAGGTGCTCTGAGAACTGTACGTGGACTTCAGCTTTGACGTATGAATTTCTTTCCTGGTGTCTTTGGAGGTGCTGAGGAAATTACAGAATAAGGACTTGAGAAAACCAAACTCTCTTTAATCTTGGGGTAAAGACTCTGGGAGTTTCAAAGCGAGGGGAAGGTTCCCTAAGTAGTGGATCGGATGCTGACTGTGATCTCAGGATGCCTGAAGAACCTGGTCACAATGAGGCAGAAAAGTAAAACAAGTATTTTTCTGGACTCACTCATCCTCGTCTGACTCTCTGAACTTGAACTTCCTTTACTGAAGACTGAGAAAATGAAAGATCAATTTTATTGAAATCAAATTCTGTGTCTAGCTTCAAACAGCAATAATTTACACATAGACAGTGCCCCTAAAGCCTGAGAAGCCTAAGAATCGTTACAGTCTTGAGCACTGCAGTTCAAATGATATATTTGAAGTATGTATGTGGAGCAAACCAGCATTTCTTGCATGTGCAGTTATTTGGCATGGAAAGATAAGTACTGCCTGTGGAAGGCATAATATCTAAAGATGATTTGCTCAATACACAAATAATAGAGAGTAAACACAATGAACATGGTCTGATATGGAGGCAGATATGCTGACAGTTATTCATTGTTGGCTGACTCGGAGCCCACCATGAATCATGACTGTGACAATTACTTTAGTAGCAGCATTCCATCCAAAAGACAAAAGAAAAGATTTTCCATTTCATGGAATGAGTCAGAAAATTATTTACGCAGATCAGAACAGACTGCGATAGCTGCCATAACGCTTTCTGTAGTAGATGCAGAAGTTGTTTCTCATTTGTTTGCAATGGATTGTCAGCTACAAGATAGCTTGCATCACAGCAGATCATAAAAATAATTCCAGCATAATAAGATCTGACCAGCAAAACTGAAACCCTTTTTGTTGTGAATAAATTCAAAGATAGCTTCTGCAGAAGCAACTAAATAAATCCATTATGTATAGACATTCATATAAACCACATCAGCATAACAGCAAATTAACTGGTATTGTTTGCACCATTCATTCAAAAGATGCAACTGCTCAGGGCAAAAGCTACGTGTTTCTCCTTCAGATGAAAACAGTTAAAGGGCACATTATGCCCCCAGTCATTAATGCCTCACAATGTTCCTGACAGTTTTCCATTACCGTGAAATGTGAAATCCATTATCTGCTTGATTATTTTAGACAGCAAGGAAACTGCATGCGGAGTATTTGAAAATGCCATAATCAAGTGGCTTGAACTTTGATAACATCATTTGCAACTCTTAAGTCTGATAATAAACTTCGGAGACAGTACTCTGCCTACAAGCTAATGGAAAAAAAGAGCTTCTAGCTAATTACCCAAATCTATACTACGTCCTTCAAAAACTACTCAACAGATGTGAGCACTTAATCTTGAAGGCTGTATAACAAAAGGTTTCAATCACTTTTCTTCAACTGCCAAAAGAATTAAAGGAGACATTTCATTTTGTCAGCTGTGAATACATGGAAATGCTGAGACATGTTCCCACAGATGATTATCTTGTAACCTGCAATTGAAAGGAACTTAAAGCATTTTCCAGCTATTAGATGTTATTTTTATACATTAAATAAGAATTACCCACTGCAATTTTTAAGAATTGTAAAGACAAAGATAATGGAGGGATGTTTTCAATGACTGATTGCCACTCATATTTACTTCATAATTGCTGTATTTTTTAGGACAGAGTCATACACCTGCATGTACTAGAGGTATTGAAATTCATGACAAAATATTAATGAAAAGGCAAATAACAAGAAAGTGTGGATAATAATTTATTTGGTCATATGTGTACTGTTACATAAAAGCTCATCACAGCAAAAGATTTTTGATGGAAAATTTTGATAGTTACTAGCTTCTCCAATACCTGACTTTAAAGTTTGATTTCAACAAAGTTAGCCATTCAGTGTCTCTGATCCTCCCCCTCCCAAACCCCAGCTCCTCAGCAAGCGCACATTACAGAACTGTTAAGAGAACACCGATTGTTAATTTTGTATTTGGGGAATATTTAGTCTTCAGTGATTCAGTAAAGCATGAAAGCATGACTGAATGTTTTAGAAGGTTCTTTCCTTTTCTTTCCTTTTTTTTTTTTTTTAGGAAATAGCCTAATACTCTGTCTGAGAATTTCTCAATTTCTTAATAGTTCTGTAATACATTATACCAACTTCTAGTTCAAATACACCCCTGAGAAGAATATTCCTCTTAGACAGACTTGAGAAATCATTTTAATAGTGAACATTTTAGGTCATCAGATTAAAACTAACTTTAATCCCACATTAAAGTGTTTTATTAATTCATTTTAAAATGAAAGAAAAATATTTCAAAGCTAAATATTATCTAGAATAACATGATTCATGATAAACAATTAGTGTATTTGATACCAAGAGAGATAAGGTCTGAGTTAAAGGAAATAGCATTTCCCTAGACTTGCCTTAAAATAGCATTTGAGTCTTTTTTCTTCATATACTTCCTTTTACTTCCTTGCAAAGATGGTGCTTCTCCAACAAGTTGGATGGTGTGCAGGAGCACTGAATAGCTCCACAGACATGCTTTGTCAGGGCCCAACTCCAAACATTCCCTCAAATGACTCCCAGGCAAAACTTGGGAGTCAAAATGCTCCCAGGAGGCAGTTTGCATGCATTGCAAATACATTTTTTGTAGCTTAGGGGAAGAGGTGGGATGTCGAATTTCCTCCTGTTCCTTCTGTACACAGACAATAGCAAAGTTAGCAGCTCATTCAGGCACTTTAAATCTTCTTCCAGAGCTCACTGCCCTGCTCCATTGCTTTCTGCTGGCTGTACAGGGAATATCAGTGCTTAACTTTGATGCTCAAAATCTGTTTGCTGAACTGGACATCTCTGGGGTGCAGTCAGTAGATCTCATTTCGGCGAGTAAAGCAGGCAATCAGAATTTGGCCCTTGATTTCAGGTTGATAGCAGTTTAACATTAAATCTCTGTGTTTTGATTTGCTGCAGTTTATTACAATTATTATAATCTTTGTGCCTTGACTTACTGCAGTATTATAGTTTTCTTGCTATAGTTGATAGCTTAATACATGGTATTTTTATGTACCGCATCAGAAGTTGTCTTCTCACTTGAAAACATGACTCAATTTACACTTACACAACGCCAGAAAAAAACAGAAGTTACAAACATGATAAAATGGCAGAAAATAATGATAAAAAACTTTGAGAAATACACACCATAATCAGAAACAATATATTTCAAAACCAGCCAAAAAACTATTCTTACCTCAAGTACTAGTTTTATTCTAAACTAAGTAACATTCACAGCAGATTTAAAAAGTGCTAGAGCAGATCCTGTACTCAAGAAAGCCACATGTTCACTTACAATTAATTACTCGTTAGCATCACCTTCCTGCCCAGGATGTAAACATACGGCACTCCTAATTTTCTTTGTCTTCTTTGAAACTGCCAGAATGTTAAAATAGTCACCTTTGCTAGAGGCAAGGGGGCACTTGTAGAATGGCCCAACTATTGAAAATGTGAGTGAAAGTGTGAACAGCAAGGTGACAAAGTTTGCCTTCATGGTTCCAGACAGTCAGACCAAAAGCTGACGGCAAAGAATCTTGTGATACTGAGTGACAGTGCGAGAAAATGAGATGGGAAAATTAATTGTGGGTGACTGCAAAGTAATGGACTAGGAATAAATAATCTTCTTTATATATTTATAGTCGGTGGCTCCAAATTAGCTACTACCTCTAAGGAAAATGATCCGAGAATGACTGCATTTTCCTTTGAAACATTCACTTGCACTAAAAAAGACCAGAAAAGTACATCAAGCATGTAAATGCCCCATATCCAGACTCAGTTCCCATATATTTTTCCCATATTTCCTGTACTGACATTGCTGTCCACCATGTCCTGCAGTGGTGGAACACAGGACCACTTCGTAATGGATTTACCTGCTGGTTCCTTCAGGAGGAGAGTCACTGGACTTTCTGCTGGTCATCACAGTTTGGGAGCCGTCTTCTTTTAACATCTAGTTACTATTTCAAGAACACCCTGTGTGTGTAAACAACCTCAAGGCTCACACAACAAATTCCTATTTGACTAACCAGCATCAGACTGGTTGACTGTGGATGTAGAGCAGGAAAGGAGAGACAGA